TGGCGCCAGAAGGCAGAGCATGTAGCTTTCCAGGATCTTGGGCGGCATTTTGCGTACACCGAAGGGTTGATCCCCTTTTTGGAGTGGATATTTGTCCCACGTGGCTGCCAGCTCCCAGATGGCAGAGTCGTCTGCCAAGTCAGATGGTGATCTGGCCCCTGAGTCACTCTGTCCCTCATTTGGGGCGTCCTCGTTCACTCTCTCCTCCCGAGGGTTTCTCCTCTCTTCCCGTCGTCCTCGCTCCCCTCTCGTTGTCCCCTCTCCTTCCTCTTCCAGCGAGATTTCTTCCGAGGGCAATGAGGCCGAGGCTACATAATCCTCCCCGTCCTCTTCCCTCTCAGCATCTGCTTCATTGTGAGTCGTGGGATCTGCCACCTGTTCAGGGCGATCGTGGCGTTCCCGCCACGTTCCTGATCGCAGGAGCGCCTCTCTTCCACCAACGATTGCGCCACCTCCTCTTCGTCCGCCTCTTGCCCCACGGGCTCCGCCTCTCCCCGCGCCTGCCGTTGCGCCTCCCCTACCCAAATTCTCTATGTTTCGACCGCCTCGCCCGGCTTGTGGTGCTCGGCCTGCCGGGATCCACGGCGTGTTAGCCGGGACTGTCTGGTGACCTCGCGGTTGGCCCCAAGTAATCCCCTGGGCGCGTGTCGTGCTCCGTGTTTCGCGGCGGGGTGTCTGTTGCGTTACTGCTTCTGCTGCTGCGGCTGCTGGCGTGTTGTTGTTCGCAGTGGTTGCTTGTCTAATGCTGTTCTCTGCTTCTATGCCCCCACCGCTCGTCCCCGCAGATGGAAATTGACGCTCTTGCGCTCGTGGCAACTGCCCTTGCAGAAGCCAGCCCAGGAGGGGTCCCGGGGGACCAGGTCCCAGCCCTGCTCCGGGCCGCCTCGGTGCTGGCTGGGCTCGAAACTTCTTCCCTGCCTTTCCGCGGGCGGCGCAGGCAGCCCCGCCGGGGCCGTGACTCCGTGTACCGCTCCCCCCCTGGCCGCGCCCCAGCGTGCTTGCGCCCTCGGCAGCAGCAGTCATTCCAGGGCTCGCAGCGGCGGTCGTCCTATCCTCCTCGTCCTGGGCTCCATCCTGTTCCCCTACCACCGCCGTCACCGCCGCAGCCAACACAGCCGCCGTTATAGGCGCCGGTGATGCCGACAGCGCTGCCTCCTCGGTCTGGTCCTGGCCCACGGCCAGTCGCGGCTCCTCTGCATACGGGCGCACCAACTGATGGATGGCGGGAGGTGAAGCTGAGCCGCCGCCAAAGGCAGCGTCAAGCCCGCCAACAGAAGTCGGGGCCACCTCAGTCGCAACAGCAGCAACTGCCTCCGGAATCGCAGCACCCGCAGCCTCACTCCCCGCAGCAGCCTCCGACTCAGTCACCTGTGCGCCGTTTTCCCCTGCCAATGCGGCCGCAGCCGCCTCGCCCCCTGACGTCTCCTGTTCCTCCACAATCCCAGCAGCAGCGGCGGCCTCAGGCACCACACCAGCAGCAGACGATGGTGCCGCAGCCACTGTAGCCTCAGGCACCGCCGCAACTACAGCCCCCGTTACCGCCGCCCCGGCTGTCTCTGCCGCCCCTGCGCCGTTGGATCCATCCGCCGCTGTAGCAGCAGCCTCAACCCTCGGTGTCCCCCGTCCCTCCGTCCCCTCCCCCCCGCACTCCCCCCGCTCCTCAGGCCGGTCTGACCGCGGGCGCGTACCCTCGGCTCTTCGTTGGCGGGCGAGAAGTGCCGATTCCCTGGGGGGTGTTGACCCCGCCAACGCCGCCGCCACCTCCTCGCGCTGCGGTTCCTGAGGCGGGGTGGAGTCTGGCTGGCGGGAGTCTCCCTGATAGCGTCGCAGAGCGCGCAATGAACGTGGGGAGTTGCCTGACTCTCCTGTCATACGTGCTGGATCAGCTTCATTTGTACCTGGCGCGCCAGGATCTGGAGATCGAGGAGGGGATGATGCCCTCGGAGCTGGCGGCAGCGGAGTCCGCAGCGGAAGAGCTGCTGCATTTCCTCCCCTTGATTGGGTACGTGCCGGGCTCCCCTGGCGCTGCGCTTGGACCTGGCCCCCGGGCCTTGCTGCAGCTTGCCGAATCTGCCCGGGAGGCACCACTCGGCCTCGTGTTAGCAGCCGCATCCGTCCTGCGCTGGATGGACGGGAGGCTATGCTGGATCCTCTCTGAGTAGCGGCTGTCTTTCCCTTGGCCGCCCCTGTGGTGCTGGGCTGGGCCTTGGGCTTCCCCATGGCGGATAGTCCACGCCTGGGGGTGTTGTTGTTGGTGTAGTAGGCTATAGTTGCATCTTGTACTGCTTGTTGTTATAATCCTTGTTACCTTCCGTCCTTGCCACACCTGATGCGAGCCGCCGTTTTTGGAGAGTGGAATGAACTCACCAGTGAAGAATGAGCTCAAAGGGGTGCAGCTAGGGACTTTATACTAGGAATCTAGGGTGGAAAACGGCTGACTAGATTCTACACTAGAGAGGGCTAAAAACGGCTAAGGACTAGCCCCAGGCCATCTCTCTCTCTCTCTCTCTCTCTCTCTCTCTCTCTCTCTCTCTCTCTCTCTCTCTCTCTCTCTCTCTCTCTCTCTCTCTCTCTCTCTCTCTCTCTCTCTCTCTCTCTCTCGCTCTCTCTTTCGCTCTCTCTTGAGCGAGCCGCCATTTTTGGAGAGTGGAATGAACTCACCATTGAAGAATGAGCTCAAAGGGCTGGAGCTAGGGACTTTATACTAGGAAACTAGGGTGGATAACGGCTAAGGACTAGATTCTACACTAGAGAGGGCTAAAAACGGCTAAGGACTAGCCCCATGCCATCTCTCTCTCTCTCTCTCTCTCAAGCGGTCCTTCATTGATGTATAGGCAGGTACATGCATGGTGATAGCTATTCCTCGGCCAGTAAGTAACCCTAGGAAACAAGCAGCTAACTTAGCAAGCATCCGACCCGTGGCCTAGGTCCTAGACAAGCAACCAAGCACTCCTACACCCGCTTGTGAGTGGCAGCAGCCTAGCCTGGCAGAAGCCAGCTACTCGTGCCTCCCTCCCTCCCGGCCACCCTCTACTCACCCCAGCTCCAGTCCTGGGCAAACCCATCCTCCAGGACCTGCCACAGGTCTCCCAGACGTGGTTCCCACGGGTCCGAGGGGCCTGGTGGCCATGCTGCCTCTGCCGCCCTGTTCGACTTGGCGAGCAGGGCATTGGCTTGGCAGCGCTGGAGGAGAACCGACCACCGCTGTCGATAGTGGGCAGTGAGCTTCGAGGCCACTGTTGTTGTCCTCCCCTGCCTGAACTTCTTCTTGGCCCCAGATGTGCCCAGGAGCCTGAAGAACTTCTGGGTGTCCCTTGCCATGGCCCCGTACGTCTCTACCGCCATGCCAAAGCAGCCCACCCAACCTGGCCTCCCCGTGTACATGCCATGCTTGGTTCTCGCCGCCTCCTCCGCGGCCCATCCTGGCGGCTTTACTGCCCGCTTGTCCCTTCGTTGCAGCACAGGGTCAGTCACCGTCACGTCTACTACCGAGGTTTTTCCCGATTCCTTGTCACGAATGATCAAATCCGCCCGTTTTTGGTTGGTTATGGGGCTGAATATGGCCGATTCGTGCAAGGTAAGGAAATCCGCCTCCCTCGCCATTCGGAGGGCTGAGTAGACCAGCGCATTGTGCGTTGTCGTGCGATCCCCCCCTTCCGCGCATCTCAGCAGGTGGTTCGGAAGGCTTCTGTCCCCAATCTTCGCCCTCCTTCCCCGGCACGGGCAGTTGTCTGTCACCGCCAGTATGAGACCGAGGCGGAGGCCTATCGCCAGCGCAAACTGGCCCGGGGAGAAGGTGAGGTCTGCCCGCATTGGAATGGCGTGCAGCCAGTCACCCGCCCCCGTCCCTTGCAGACTCAGCAGGCGGAGTACATGGCCATTGTCCGCCCCTGGCTTGTCCTTCCGCGTGTCCCAAAGCAGTTCCGCCGCCCGCTCAGTGTTGATGTGCCGTGACAGTAGCAGCTGCAGGTGCCCCTTCCCATCATTCCTCTCCAGATACGCCCGCAAGGCTACCCTGGCCGCCTCTGGTAAGCGGGACCACATGTCCCCGTGGATATCCTCCCCGTTGGCCCCCTGTCCCCCTGGCTCTGGTGCTACCAGCCGTGCTGCCCTAATCATGGGGTTGTCCGGAGCCAGTGGTAGCTGCTGCAGGAGCGCGTAGGCCGCCGTCAGGGACGCCAAGTACGCCGCTGGAGCTTCCGAGAGGGGGTCTATCAGACCTAGCCCTCCCAGGGCCACTGGAAGAGTCGCCTAGCGCCACAGTAGGCTCTGTTCCAATTCGTCCGCCGGCCAATAAAGTTGCGCTGCTCTGAGGACCGTCTGGAGCAGTCGCTCGCTCCAATCTCGCCACTCCGCTAGTGAGATGAGGTCAGCCGGTGTCGTGCGCAGCAGGTATGACGCTCTCCTCGAGATGCAGCGCGAGAGGAGGAGCATGGCGTGCTGGGGATGCAGCCCGCTGATGAGGTCCAAGGGCGCCGCGATTCTCTCCAATGCTGCCCTAACAAAACTCCTTCCGTACGCACTCGAACCAATCGGGCTTCCGAGGACTTTGATGCCGTCCACCGCCGCCACCAGTCCTGCAGGCAAGTTGTCTGGTATGCCCGCCGGACTCCACGCCGAGGATTTGGCCAGGTTGCACCGTAGCCCGCACGCGCGAAGTTCAGTGGTGATGAGCGTCATCGCCTTTCCCGCCGACTCCGAGTCTCCAACCAGAGTGATGTCGTCCGCGTACGCCATCACTACCACCGACGGGAAGTCATCCGCCGCCTTGAGAAGGGCCGGTTGGATTGCCGCCGCAAACAACGTCGGGCCCAACGGGTCACCTTGCCATACTCCTCTCGCACTCTCGATGTGGTTAGCGGCGAATCCATCGTCCAGAAGCAGGCGGGATGGGCTCTCGTAGAGTGTGCGCACCAATGGAACCAGGGGGTGAAGACCCGACCACCGTAGCGATGTAAAGAAACTTTGTCGTTCTACCGAGTTGAAAGCATTTTCCACATCTAGCTGTAGCGCGACGCGGGTTGGATCTTCTCTGAGAAGTGCCCGTGTCGAGTGGATAATGCACTCCGCTCCTCCTGAGACTGAGACCCCGAACTGCACCGGTAAGAAATACTTTCGGATCTGAGGCGTCAGCTCCCTCAGCGCAATCTTAGCCGTCAAGCGTAGCAGCGCTTCTCCTATGGCGATTGGCCTGACACCACCATCCGGCTTCTCTAACGCGATTAGTCGGGACGGGAGTAGGAGCTCTCTAATACTCTCTGGTTGCTCTTTGCCGAGAAGGTTGTTGACCACTTCGAGCAGGAGCGTGAGTACTTCCCCATTTGCTAGCGCAGGTTTGCGAAGATGTTCAAAGCAAGTACCCGAAGGGCCCGCGCCAATACCATTCGCCAAAACCTCGCGAAGTTGGTTAGGCGTGGAGGCGAGGGGTGATGCCTTGAACCCCGTAACCCAATCCGGGATGATTGTTGCCGCCTCTGGGTGTTTTGTGCGAAGTGCCTCGAGTGTTGTCAGCGAAGTCGTCGCGAGGGGGGAGGATTGTAACGCTGCGAGTGCCTTGGCGAGATTTGCTTTTTGTACGAGCCCTTCCGCTCTCGCACGTAGTCCCTCGGGGTCCGGCTGGTGTCTGCTCGGTTTGGGGTCGTCCGGAACGGTTTTGGCCTGTAGGAACAGTATGTTCCATTTCTCGAGTAGGAACTGTTGCAGTCTACCCTCAATCTCCTTCCAGTGATTTGCGCAGGAGGGGTCAATATCGGCGCGGAGTGTCAACCGTGGTAGGAACAGGAGAACCCGCCATGCACCTTGGCACAGTGGGTTCTTCTTCAGTCGCTGGAGTGGGATGACGAGGCAAGCTGCAAGGGAGTCCACCACCCCAAGTGGCATCCTCCTAGCTAGGAAGGGCTGTTCACTGCCACGGAGGCAGTCCATGTCCCACTCTGCCACCTGTCGCCAGATCTCCTCGTCCCCGGCGATCACCTCGGGTGAACGCATCTCCCTCACCTCCGCGCCACCTGGTTGCCCAATTGGAGCCCCAGGTGGCAGATTTCCATTCTGCTGGTTCCCCCCCATCCTCCCATTTCCCTCCAGTCGCGTTCTCCCAGACCTCCCACCTCGCTGGTGGTTGCCCACCCCCGGCTCATCATCTAGCGAGACTTCCTCAGATTCTCCTTCTTCTGAGGCCATATAGGCCTCCTCATCCTCTTCCCTGTCAGAAGTAGCTGGCCTATCAGCATTCAAGTCCTCTGGCACCACCTCTGGCACCACCTCCGGCCTACCGTGCCGTTCCCGCCACGGACCAGATCTAACCCGCTCCCGCGCGTTCACCGCCCTCCCCCTTTGTCCCCGCCCTCGTGTTCCCGCGCGTCCCCGTGCCCGCCCTCGTGCCCTCCCTCGCGCCCTTCCCGCCGCGACACCCGGGCGTAAGTCCTCCACCACCGGTAATTCCGACGGAAGCTCCGTCGCTTCCTCTACGTCCGCCCACGCCAATGACGGGTAAGGCCGCGAGGGCCCCTCGCCGTGAGGTCGTGGTTGGACGATCTGACGCTCCCACCCCCGAAGGGGGCCAGGGAAGCCAGGTGCCAGCCCTGCTCCGAGCCGCCGCAGACTTGGTTGAAGCCGAATCGAGCGGCGGATCGGGCCGTGAGCCGCGCCATCCGCCGGACTCCCGCGGCGGTCCAGCGTATCACCCCCCACCTGGTCGAACGCCATACTACTTGCGTCCCCGCGGCCAGCCGTTCCGTCAAACCCGCCGTCCCCGCCATCAGCCATGGCGGCCTAGGCCATTCCATCCTCCTCGTGGGCGCGCTGTCCAGCCGCCATCCTCTGCACCTCCGCCAACATCTCTTCTCCCGCCGACTCTGCCGCCCCCGACGCTCCTTCCGCCTGCGCCGACTCCCTTTCAAATCCAGCCGGCCCCTGCGCCATCTCTTGCGCCCGCACCGTCGGCGCCTCCTCCATCGGCGCCTTCCCTTTTGAACGCGCCGTCCGTCGCAGTCCCTCCCGCCGCTCCCGTTCCTCCTCCTCCGGTTGCCCCTTCTCTCCCGCCGCCTCAGCGCCAGCATCCCCTTGTTCCTCGGTCCCGTCCTTCCGCGGCTCGATGGGGTGTTGTGAGTCCTTACCTCCCGTCGCACCCTCCCCTGCTGTTGCCTTTCCTCGTGCGTTTTCCCCCTGTCCCTGGGTCTGGTTCTCGCGCCCGTGACTGACATCTTGGTGTGACTCCTGTCCAGGTGTTGTCGCAGCCGAACGAGCGGCACCGCGGGTGGGACGAGTTTGCAACGCCTGGGACCGCACGGGACCCGCAATTGGAGTGGTGGAACATGGGTTGGCCGATGGATCCTCGTGTGGGGAGGTGGGGGAGCGGGTGGGGTGAGGAGGCCCCGGGCGAGACGGAATATCTTGAGCGTGGGGAGCGCCTGTCCCAGATCCGGTGCTTCGTGACGCGTCTTGCGACAGTTCTTGAGCAGTACCACCTAGCTGTGCAGGAGCGGATGCCTGTCGCTCGTGACCCACAGCTTGATGAGATTCAGCAGGGCGTTGTCCGTGTGGCGCTGTCGGAGGCGATGTGGGAGTTGCTCGACTTGCCGCTGGAGCCGGAAGATGCTCAGCTGGACGAAGGCCCTGGCGCCTTGGCCTTCCGCCGGGTAGCCACGGCGGCTGAAGAGTCGCCGTTGGATCTTGTCCCCGCGGTCGCTTCGTTGCTCCAGTGGGTTGGGCAGCGGGTGCGGATGATGTAGATGCCGCCCCGTGCGCCGGCTTTGGCGCTTGTTTCTTTTTCCCCATTGTGGGGGCTTACCTGTGCCGGTTACTCCGCTTGCCTAGTATTCCATGTTGTAATTGTTGCCTTAGTTCGCACCCGCTGTGAATGGATCCCAGCTTTTCCTTGCCACACCTCACGCGCGGCTAAAGGCCGCGCCGGCGAGCGGCGGCCGCCGAAGGCGGCCGGCGCGAGCCGCCGGTTTTTTTGGAGAGTGAACCCAACTCACCAGTGAATAATGAGCTCAAAGAACTAGATCCAGGTGCTTTATACTAAGGAAACTAGGCTAAAAACGGCTAAGGACTGGATCTAGGACTAGAGAGGCCTAAAAACGGCTAAGGACTGAAACCTTTCCATCTCTCTCTCTCTCTCTCTCTCTCTCTCTCTCTCTCTCTCTCTCTCTCTCTCTCTCTCTCTCTCTCTCTCTCTCTCTCTCTCTAATGGTCCGTGTATTGATATATCAAAGGGATACAAACATGCAGGGTATGGATGCTAGAGATGGTAACAAGCAAACAAAGAAAAAAAGAACTATCTAACCACCCATAATTGCCTATCTATACCTCCATGAGAGGCTCTAGTACTGCACAACTGTCCCTAAGGTGAAACTCGCCCTGCACCCCCCCCACAGGGGGGTTTTCCGCTACTGCCGCCTGACTGGACTTAATAAGGTAACCTACCGACTGCGCTCTTTGCAGAGCACAGGACCACCGCTGCCTGAAGAGATGGAGGAACCTGGCTGCATGGAATGAGTGTGGTTGGGCGTTGAAGTGTCGCGTAGCAGCTGTTTCCGCCAAGAGCTTCAGGAATTGTGGAACCTCGGCACACGGGCACCCATATGTCTCAACTGCCAAGGGGAAAAAGGTAACAGTGTCGGGGCGGCTGGCATAATGGCTGATTTTCTTGTCGGCCTGCTCCCTGGCCGCCCAACCCCTTCCCTTTATGGCCAGTGGGTCCCTGGTGCTTATCGGGTCCGTGATGGTGACATCACAGATGTACACCGCGCCCGAGCACCTATCACGCAGGGTCAGGTCTGCCGTTTGCTCTTCAACTGGGCAGTAGGCTGCGGATTCTCCGTGGACTATGAAGCCGGCGTCCTCTGCCATCGAGATGCAGGCGTCACGGAGTTCATTGTGAGTATTGATCCTGTGCTTGCCTGTCCCGCAGCGAAAAAGATGGTTCGGCAGCCGTGGGTCAGTGATCTCTACGTGTTTAGAACAGTCGCACTTCGCGGGTGTAGAGAAGGGGAGGCCTAGCCTGAAGCGGACTGCATTGGCGAAGTGCGGCGGGCCTACACGGCGGGTCGGTTCTATGGGGATAGCGGTTAGCCAGTCTCCCGTGCCGTAGCCTGTCAGGGAAAAGAACCGTTGTGTGTGACCTGACAGTGGGTTGAGACTCATGTGCCGTGTGGCCTGCACTTGCGTGGCGTATCTGCTCCCCTGCACTCTCACCCCAAGCTCGTGCTGCAGTTTCAACCCCTTCGGCTCTAGCCTTTCCTTGTCGAGTATGTCTCTGGCTTCCTGTGGCAGCGACGTCTCACATTCCAACAGCCAGTGGTGTAAGGCAGTTGTGGTATCTCGAGGCAGGAGCATGTGATCTCGGGCTGCTATCAAGGCCTCCTCTGTTTCTAGCGGTAGGGAGCTGAGGAAGAGGCTAGACTGTGTGAAACTAGCCAAGTAGCCGAACCGACCTTCTACCGTAGGGTCAGTGAGTCCGATACCGCCCAACGACGGTGGAAGTGAAGATTGCTCCCAAACCCGGCCCTGCTCTGTGCTGTCTGTAGGGAAACGGATGCCACATGCCGTGAGGAGTGTGGACAGGAGGTCCCTACCCCATTGTGACCAGGTGTCGTGGTTGAGGAGGTGTAGTGGGGTTGTTCTTGTGAGGTATCCAACTTGGCGAGAGATGCAGCGTGTGAGCAACAGAAATGCTATCTGAGGGTCTAGTCGTTTGATCAAAGGCAGCGGCTTGGTCATGGCCTCTAGCTGGGCGGCTAGGAAGGCGGCGGCGCCTTCGGATGTACCTAGGAAGCTGCCTAGAAGTTTAACGCCCGCTTCACTTGTCGGTACCCCTGGCGGCAGCTGCACTGTACTGTCTATCGGCATGCTGCTCCACGCGGCGCATTTCCCGGGATTGTGTCACAAACCCACTTGGGCCAGCTGGCTAGTGAAGTGAGTGAAGGCTGCGACGGCTTCACGTGGGTCACCTAAGAAGCTTACGTCATCGGCGTATGCTAGGCACAGCACACCAGGGTGCAATGTTGCTGTTGCTCTCAAGGCAGGATGACGCGAAAAGAAGTGGGCCTAAGGGGTCTCCCTGCCGGACCCCTCGCTCACTGAATAATGGTGGGCTGTTGAAGTTGGCATCCAGAAACAGTGGGGATGGGTTGCCGTAGGTCAGTTTCACTAAGGGCAGTAGTGGTGATAGGGCGGGGTCCTGTAGCGCTGTCACTATGGCTTGTCGTGATGCTGTTGAAGGCGTTGGAAATGTCAGCTTGGAGGATGAGGCAGTTGGGGTGATTGTCGGTGTATGCGCGTGCACTGTGTATGATCGCCTCTGCTCCCCCTGGCACTGCTACTCCGTACTGCAGCGGAAGAAAATAGCCGCGCGCCGCCTCGCCCAGGGTTGTCAGTGCGGCCTTTGCCGCCAGGCGCGTCAGGCATTCGCCAATTGCTATTGGGCGAGCCCCCCCTTCAGGCTTGGCTAAGGCAATCAGGCGGGAGGATGTGAGTAGTTCCGCGACTTGACGTGGCAGGTTTCCTTTCAGAATCGTATTAACCAAGGCGTGCAGATGGGTGGAGACGGATGCGTTAGTCACTGACGCATCTCGTAAGTGTTCAAATGTCATTCCTCTCGGATCGGCCCCCACGCCATTCTCGCATCGGCTGAGCAGCTTCGAAAAATCCGCGTATGCAATCTCCAGGTCGACAGTGTCTGTGTTGACCGGCCAGGTCAAAGGGTCAGGGTCGGCTGGTGGGTGCTTGCTTCGGAGTTCGTCCAGGATTTCTGGACTGGGTGTACAGACTGGCGTTGACTCGAGCGCCATCACGGCTCGGCGCAAGCTTCCCTTTTTCGCCAGGCCCTCTGCTCTGCTGATGGTTCCCACGTCGTCTGACTGGTGACGTGGCGGGGGTGGTGTATTGACTGCTTCCACCGCGTCCAAGTACAGTTGTTGCCACTCGCCACGTTGAAATGCTTGGAGGCGGGCTTTGATTTTGGGCCAATCAGGGCGTCTTGGCGAGGCTTGTCGCAGTGTAAGGCGAGGGAGAAATAAGAGTAACTTCCATCCCGCGATGGAGTCTGGGCTTCGCGAAAGGTATAGAAGAGGTGTCAGTACCATGAGCGCGAATATCTCGCACAAAATTGGCGGTAGCCGACGTAACAGCGTGGGTTGGCGACTATCGCAGAGTAGCGAAATATCCCAGTCTGCCACTTAGGCAAATTTGTCAGCCTGCCTCGCCAGCTCCTCTGGCGAAAAGTAGCGGGGAATTTGAGCCTGGCGAGCCGCACTTGCCTGCCCCCTCGCGGTCCGATTTCCTCGACCGCGGCCCGTACCACGAGTTGAAGGCGGGGTTGGAATTGTGGCCGTCCGATCGGCATCCTGCGGTCCCCGTATGGTTCCTGATTGCAGAGGCGGTCCTCTCTGGCTTCCTCCACCTCGTCTTGACAATTGCTCTATCTCCTCCTCGTCTTCCTCCTCGCTACGGCTGCTCGGCGCTTGTGCCTCCTCCATATAAGAGGGGTCATTTTGCTCGTCCGGATCAACATTCTCATCGAGCCGTGTTAAAGCCCTTCGTGCCGCCGCCTGGAACGCGTTCTCCGGTCCACCCTCAACTCCCCGTCCTTCACGGCGTCCTGCCCCTTGTCTCCTTCCGCCTCGCGATGGTGATTGCTGGCGACCCGTGGCCATCGCCAAAGCCCGCTGCCTTTGCGTCAAAGGCGAGCAGAAGGTCACCGCCGGTGTCTGCCTCGGGAAGTCCTGCAATGAAGCCGCTAGTCCCCCCTGCCCCGAAGCCAGCGCCCTCTGTCGCTGGTGTCTCTGCGAGTCCGACTCCGGACCTCGTGTCAAGTGTGGTTCCGGCATCACTCCTGCCTGCCCCGTCTGCCCCTGTTGCTGAGCCGGGCCCTCCTGCGCTCTCCGCTCCTGCTCTGCCGGCTGTCCCTGTAAATCCTGCGGCGCCGTCTGCTGTTGCCGATCCTGGTGTTGCGTTGCCCGTGCCTGAACTCCCTGCGGCATCGCCCGCTGTTGATGTCCCTGTTGCACTCGACGCGGCTGTTGGTTCGTCGCCGATGGCAGTGTCCGCCACCACTGGCGGCCCGGGCCCGTTTGTAGCGCCAGCGGGCGCCGTCTAGGCGGCTCCTGTTGCTGCATCTGTGGGTCAGCAGCTGGGCCAACGCTCCTCCCGCCCGCATTCTCCTGCGCCTCGTGAGGAGCGGGAGTCGTCGCGACGCCGTCGTGATTCTCCACGGCGTAACCGTTCGCAGGCGAACTGGCATGCGCAACGTGGCGGTCGTGGGGGGTGGGCGGGAGGTCGCGGTTATGGCGGCGGCGCGGCGTATGTTCAGCCGATCTCCCTTGCGGACGTGCAGCGTGTTGTCTCGGCAGCGATACGCGAGGAGAGGGCAGTGCATCGCCTTGCTCCTGCTCCAGCGGCTCCTCCTCCGGCCGCTCGTCCTGTGGCTGCGGCTCCGCCACGTCAGGCTGTTGCCCCGGCTCCCCTTGTCCCTGCTCCGACTCCCTCCGTCCCTGCCGCATCTGCTGCCGCACGTGATCGCCGCTTGCGGCTACCGTGGGTTCCTCTAGTGGCGGGACTGGAATTTGTGACTGCGGCAGGAGGAGCGGTGACGGCACAGTACCCGCCTCTGCTGCCTGCTGATCCCGCTCCCCCGTCTGCTCTCGATGCACCGATCCTCCCGACCTTGCCTGGGCCTCCTCGCATGGCTGAGGTCCCGGAAGCGAGCCTGGCGCAGTTGTGGCGTCTCTGTGAGGCCCTTCGTGCCGTTCACCTGATCCAGGTGTACGGTCATGCTGCTCTGTTCCAGGGGAATTCCCTGGATGGAGGCCCTCGGGATGAGTGCCTCGATGCGGCGGATCGGCTCGCCGAGCTCCTGGCGCCCGTGCTGGCTGCGCCTGCACGGGGTGTAATTGCGGGCGGTGGGCATCTTGGAACGGCTGTCCGTGGGTTGAAGTGGGTCCTGCGCGCTGGTACTGGAGACGAAGTGATCGGCCCAAGCGCGGCGGTGGTGCGTGAGCTTCACCGCTCTCAGACTGGGCTTCTTGCAGTTCATGACGCGGATCAATACTAGTATCCGCTGGGGCTTCTTCCCCAGTTGCATTCTCCTGTTGCCCCATTACCGCCCCCTTTAGTAGTACTCCGCTCTCGCCATGTGTGTATCCCGGTGCTGTAGTTGCTCTTGTTTCGCCTCAAGCGAAAATTTCTGCACCAACTGAACAATGAGATGAAGAGGCCCAGAGAGGCCTCTTATATAGCTCACAAAGGAGAGGGCAGAGGGCTAAAGGGAGAGGGCAGAGGCTAGTATCCTCTCTCTCTCTCTCTCTCTCTCTCTCTCTCTCTCTCTCTCTCTCTCTCGCTCTCTCTGCCGCTGCTGTTGCTGTGGGGGCGAGGTTCAGAGGGTGTGGGTGGAGTGAGTCCAGCTGCAGCATCAGCCGCCTCCTCCGCCTCTCATCCCCTGCCGTGTGCCTCCCGTGTCTCTCATTCTGTCCGCGCTCATTCCGTCTTGTCTGCACCCCACACCCCGTACGCCCCCCGGCTCTGATCGTACTTGTCGCTCGTGATGTTGCCTGTGTTCTGCTCGTGTTCTTGCTGGCCCCGTATTCTTTGCTGTCCATGTCATGATGTTGCCAGTGTCCTTCGTTGCTGCCCATCCCATGCTCCGATGCTCTTGTGCTTCCCGTGCTGCCCCGTGCCCCCATGCTTCCTGTGCTGCCCTCGTGCCTCCCGTGCTCCCGTGCTTCCCGTGCTGCCCCCCGCGCCTCCCGTGCTCCCGTGCTCGCTCCCGTGCTTCCTGTGCTGCCCCAATGCATCCCGTGCTCCCATGCCCCCATGCTTCCCGTGCTGCCCCGTGCTCCCGTGCTCTCGTGCTCCCGTGCTTCCCGTGCTGCCCCCGGCCTCCCGTGCTCCCATGCTCCCGTGCTTCCCCTGTGCCTCCTGTGCTCCCGTGTTGCCGTGCTCCCGTGCTGCCCTGTGCCTCCCCGTACATCCCGTGCTGCCGTCCCGTGGCATCCCGTGCCTTGCTGCCAGTACTCGTTCGTGCCTCCCGTTGCTGCCCGTATCCCTTCGTGCCTCTCATGCTGCTCGTCTTCGTTCGTGCCTCCCGTTGCTGCCCGTATCCGTTTGTGCCTCTCGTGCTGCCCATACCCCTTCATGCCTCCCGTGATGCCTGTGTCCGTTCGTGCATCCCGTTGCTGCCCGTGTCCGTTCATGCATCATCCCGTGCCTTGCCGTGGTATGCCCCGTCTAGCTGCTGCCCGGTCCACCGTGTCTCTTACGCCGCCTAGCTTACGTTTACACTTACGCTTACGCCCGTGTTGCTGCCCGTGTCCTACCCGTGCGCGCGTTACTGTCCGTGTCCTATGTCGTGCTGCCTGTGTCCTACGCCGTGCTGCCTGTGTCCTACTCATGCCCCACCCATAGTATGCCTCGTGTAGCTGCTGGCTGGTCCGCCGTATCTCTCACGCCGCCTAGCTTACGCTTACGCTTACGCTTACGCTTACACTTACGGCTCCTCTCCACTTCGGCTCGCACACCAAGCACCTGCTGCGGGGCGTTCAACCGCAATTGGGCACCTGTTTCCACCCTTAGAAACCCTTGTTCCTAAGTTAAGTTCATACGTTGACAAAAGGCAGTGGAGAAGTCCAGTGAGTGTAGCTCGTAGTCTCGCTGTGCTGCAACATGAAGTTACACCCGAAGAGTGGTCATCTTCGGGGTCGAAGGTCTGGAAGAAGTCAAGTCCCTCACGCTGACTTAAACCTCTAGCCGCGTAGTGCGCCTTGAAGACAAGCGATGACCGAGGCGGCCACTTCACCTCGAAGATCCACATGACATTGACTACGTCGCCCCAAGCGGGGGAACTGCGTTGACGTAAGTGCCTGCAGACGCCATCTCTGCGTCCATGGCCGCCATCCACTGAGAGGCTCTGCCTCACGGTACGTGCGAGTACTAGTCGGTATGTCAAGGGCGTCGGGGTCTCCCTCAGGGGCTAGCTGCATGCCACAGAGATTGGGAGAAACAGCTGCCAAGAAATCCAGCCCAAACTGCCTGTCCTCTAAGACGTCACAGCTAAGGGCATACTCACCCCCGGCGGATAGAGGACGGGCAGCCACCACGCGGGTGGCGTAGTCAAGGTAACGTCAGTGACAGCGGCAGTAAGATCCATGACAGACGACGGAGAGGCGCGTGGTTCCGTAACAAGAGAGGCGAGAAGAGTGAGAGGACAGGACGAGACGTGCGGTAGTAGTTAGTGATTGGGTGAAAGGAGGAGGCTGTCAGGGACGACTCATGAGGTGACGGGAGAACAGATGGAGGCAGAGAACGAGGAGGACTACAACGAGACAAGACAGAGCGGGGGTCGGTGATTGGAGACGAGGGATGAGCACGAGGAGGACAACGAGTGGCCCAAGTGTGCGAAACAACAAGAGGAGACGACTGTGACTGAGGAGGAGGGAAAATATCAGGAAACGTGTTCAGAGGGGGAAGACCGTGGACAGTAGGAAGGGGTGAGTGGTCTGGAGGAGAGGAAGGAAGGCCAAGTGGCCGAAGGCCACTCACAGGTGGTGACATCTGCTCCAAAGGTGGCGGCTGCTACAGCTGCTGTTGCTGCAGCTACTCCTGCTGCTGCCACTACTCCTGCTGCTGCAGCTTCCGCTGCTTCTGCTCTAGCTCTAGCCTCTCCTCTGCCAAACTCTCTTGCTCCTCGCGCTCGAGCTGACGAAGAGCGTGGAACCGTGTTGGGTAGCTGTGAGGAGGTGGAGTAGGCGTCGTAGTTTTAGCGCCTCCCGCTCCAACTCCCTCAGAACTAGCACCCCCAGTGCCAGTACCGACAGCTCCAGCACCCCCAGCACCAGCACCTCCAACTCCAGGACCCCCAAAAACTAGGACCTCCAGTGCCAATACCTCCAACACCAAGGCCCCCAGGACTAGCACTTCCAGCGCCGTGTGAGGAGGGTTTAGGGCAAGGAGAATTGTTGATAGACTAGAGGAAGTAGGAGGGGTACAAGTAGAGTGTCAGGAGTTTTGGTGTATCCCCTAAGATGTGCCCCATTTCAGCCTACCTAAAAACTATAAACATAGTTTGACACCTCTCACTTAGCCTATGGGGGTGTGTCAAACATATTTTTATACATATATATAATTGGTTGTGCTAAGCTACAATGAGTTGCTCTTTAGAGGGTACAACACTTTTAGGTCTCATTCTTCTCGACACTCATCCTAAAGCATACATAATTCTCTCGACCTACCTACTTTTAAACTGGCTGGCACCCTGTTTTCCCAGGGTGCCTCAAGCAATTTTTATGTAATCGGTGATTCGCCTTCAAGATCATTTGAATCTACATGCTCGAAGGGATCACTCAAAGGAGGAGGTGCTGGTGGCGCTGGTCGTGCAGGCGGAGCCGGCGGTGTTATGATGATAGGGATCACACGGGCTCCCGGATTCGCCCGTGTTAACCCCTCGGTTCTGGTTCCACCTCGTGACTGCATTAGGAGACTAAAGGCCAACATGGCGGCCACAAATGGCTGCGATTTGGATTTAACAACGAGAGACTGCATCGTGAAATGACAAGGAGCAGCCGAGACTACCGCCTCTGAGCACGTGCAGAGAAGGACGTGGAGAAGAAGGTCCCCACGACCCAGCAACCACACGGACCTCTCGTGCCGCAGGTGGGATGAACACGATGACGGTGCATGGGAGTTGACAGGTTCGTGCTGGCATCAGATGTGTCGCACGCCTCGTAAAACACGTTAAGGATGTGCACAATGGTGCAACGTCGTTGCGTTAGCGATTGCGGTCTTTTTCGATATAAGAACACGACTTTGCCGAATAAACCCCCCTCCCCCCCCCCCCCCCCCCCCCCCAATATCATTAATACAGACACACACCACTTCATGATGTTATATATGTGCTCACGTGTCTTTTTGTTTCAATTGTACAACATGTTCACCCAAACCTTTTTCCAATGAATTTTTATGAAGTCCACCGGGTCTTATATTCGGAAAAGGACGGTATAAGCGCATCACTGACATCCAAATCCAACGGCCTGTATTCGTTCGTCATCACCGCCGTGCTGGTGTATTTGCCCGAAACACACTCAAAACAGGCGTAAACGCTGCGCTACAGTCTAATATTATAGAAAACAAATCAAAAAAGTGTCATTCAATTGACCCATGCGTTACAAAAAAACATTTTGGAAACATACACACCCTTTTTAAGCATTTTAGTTAAAAACACACACTTTACTTTGTCCTGTTTTCAACAGTATCAAGATGAAGAAAATCTGAGCATATGTAAGGAAAATTCCTTTTCCTTACTTCGCGCCCCTGCTTACCGCGTACAACACCATTCCCGCCATCGGCACCCAACAGTGAAACGTTACGCGCTCGCGACACTCGCCTCGACTACGACTCCCGCCACCGTTCACGATGCGACCCAACCTCACGGTTCGGTTGGTAACCCGCGCTCCGGACCTCCGCCTCGACAATTTCCCAACCTCGGCGCTAGGCCCGTCGTGCACCCCATTTTTACACATTACCGTTACCCCTGTAGTTTCGCTATATATTATTCGCTCATTCCTTCACTCATTGTACTCTTGCTTCGATAGTGCAATTCTCGCTCGCTCACTCAATTGCACTCGTAATACTTGGTATTCAGAGCCTACGATCTCTTTTCGGACCGCACCCACACCTTCGCTTCCCCACTATCTCATTTTTTTGGGGGGGGTAGACGTCTCTCAGCGAAACAAGCACCGCCGCTCGTAGTGCTCTCTCGTAAGCACGCACGGCCACGACAGAGGCTCTCGCTGAGCTTGCCCGACACCCCCGCCATGGCTGAATTCAACATCGCGACACTGACGCAGGAGCAACTCGACCGTCTCGTGCGCCAACTCGAAGACTCGACCCTCGAAATTGCGGCGCTTACGGCGGAACGCGACTCTGCTCGCCAGCAATCAACGGTGAATGCTCCAGCACCTGCACCCGCAAATGCACCTGCGCAATCAGAAGAACCGATCGTCATCTCATCAGGCACACCGACGCAACACGACAGCGTGGGACAACGCTCAGGCGCAGCCAGTGATGGCGCCGCTCAATCGATGCATGGCATGGAGAGAAATAGGGCCGCACCAAGCCCGCGTGAGCCTCGCGAAGCTCGTCGGCACGTGGAGTTTGCGGCAACAAGTGGCAGCCACGACATCATGGCACCAATGCCACTCAAGCCGCAGCGCCCGCCCTGTTTCGATCCGAGCCAACGTGGAGGTCCGACAGTTCAATCGTGGATCTTCACGATGAACGTTTTCTTCGACGCGAATTACGTCAAGTCGGACGCAGCGAAGATTCGCTACGCTGTTTCGCTGCTGAGGGGCCCAGCCATGGACAGGTGGCGAGTCATCGTGACATCGCCACGCGCCTACGAGCCACCGTCGCAAGAGGAAGAGCCCATGGGCCCAGCCGTCACCTGGAGTTCATTTTGCGAAACCGCCCAGTACAGCACGTGGGACGCATGGTGCGCAGGGCTTCGGGCGCGCTTCGAGCCGATCGCGACTTCTATTTCGGCGCGTCAGAGACTGCGTACTTGGCGGCAGCTCGGATCAGTTCAAGACTACACGAGCAGTTTTCTCGCATTATGCGAGCAAGTCGGCTAAATGCACGAAGCGGAGCGGGTGGACCGTTACGTCGGAGGACTGAAGCGGGACATCTCGCACGAAATCATGCTACGCGGGCTCTCGAATTTTAACGAGATCCTCGAGCTCGCCGAGAAAATCGACATTTTGCGCCGACCGAGACCGGGTTCCTACTACGGACATCGCCCTCGAGGACCAATCGAGCACGCCACCGTACACGCCGTTGTGACGAATGCAGCTGCCGCGCCATTTAAGGGGCGCTGCTTTGCTTGCAACAGGCCGGGCCATCGCAAAAGCGAGTGCCCAGAGGAGCTAAGGCGCCGCGGAGCAGAGCAGGGGAGGGAGTCTCAGAGGCAGGGAAACGCCAGCAGTCAGTAGAAATTGGGCCAACTACTGACGAGACTGCCTGCTCGCCCAACCTCACCGACCCTCACCGAGTCACAGTACCGATTCACGCTATCGATCGGGCTCGGATGAATAAGGAGGGTACAGCGACAGATTGCCCAGTACTGATCCACGGGACAATACAGGGAGCAGCAGTGAAGATTTTTATAGACGGAGTGGCAAGTCACAGCTTAGTTAATACCGCGACCGCACGGAAGCTGCAACTGTCACTTAGTCGGTGTCTACCAGAGATAGACGCACGCTTAGTTGACGGAACGCCG